CCTTTTCATGCAGTGGGCCAAGTTGGATTAAAGCAATAGAAACCAATTACATACATGTAGCTTAAAGTCAGTTACAAAGGGATGAGGGGGAGAGAGAGAGAAAGAGGGGGGGAGAGAGGGGGAGAGAGAGAGAAAGAGAGAGAGAGAGAGAGAAAGAGAAAGAGAAAGAGAGAAAAAAAGGAGGAAGAGAGAGAAAGAGATATGCAGGCTAATGGATGAAGACAGACAAAAGAATAGGGAGCAAGAGAAACAGACAAAAACGAAAGGAGAGATAGAGAGCTCGAGACACACACACTTCGGAGTCGGACAAAGGTTGCGTTTATCTAGCAAATTTTTGGCTAGAATCAGGTTTCTCAAACGTCTTTCAGGCAAATTTAGAAGTAGATAAACGCAAAGCCTTTTTCAAACGTCTTTAGATATGGGCATATCTAAAGACGCAAAAAGGTGCGTTTTGAATGTGACATACAGCCAGAATCACGTTTCTGAGAGATCGATAAACGCAAAGCTGTTTTGAGCCTCACATACAAATATGACCACCCAGGTGTTGTGTACAAGCATACGAGTGAAGTTGACCTCCGAGAAACTGTCTGCTTCCCGGGTCAAAACAGCTGGGCAGACACAAGGCCTTTATTTTGAATCGTGAAGGGGCGATAAACGCGACATCCCGCAAATCACGATCATATAGTGGGGTACGATAGTGGGGTTCGATAGTGGGGTACGATATGTACATATCTAGTGGCAAGCCTAGATAAACGCGCTCAAAGACACACCAAGACTTGTACGATGCGTATATCTCCCCCTTTAGTACTGCCAATCAATAAAAATGATGCCAGCAAAATAATCACATTTAAAGAATGTTATGCCTGCATAATTTTGGTTGTATATTATTGGAATTGATACTGATGTAATCTAGTCGGTAATTCATAATTCAGCTGTTCTTAATCACATATCAATTACAATTGTCTTCATTCTGGGAAAGTAGGCCAAACATTTTGAAAAATCATTGATTTGGGGGACAGCCATTTACACTTCTTGAAAAACCCTTTAAAAAACATTCGTGTTTGCTCATTCCAATATGTGTGACTTGTCGCTGCTCTGCATGCAATCTCACGAAAGCAAGGAAAGTCAAGTGACAAAATAACTGAATTGCACCAAAGTTTAGCGAGTAGGCATTTACATTGCAAAAATCAGTAAAATTTTAAACAAAAACAGCCAGAGAGGGATTTTCATTTTTGTTTTTTAGTTTTGTTTGCTGGTAGTAGGCAACTACCAACTAAACATCAGAATGTGAGCAAATTAACAGAACTGAACAATGTATCTGAGTGGCACACTTCTTACAGGCCTGTACAGTATCTGAATTTTGCGGGCATAATGGAAACTCTGAATAAAGTCTGTATTTGCAGACTATGATGGGATCTGCGTACAATACACTTGACGACAAGTTCAATGCCTTTGTTGCAGCACAGTTCCGTATGAAAATGAAACAAGATCTCACAACGAAATCTGCATTTGCAGACTCTTATTGCATGGTTTACTTCACCGTTTACATGTACAGCATTACAGCTTACTGCCTTGATCATGAAGCCAGGATACATTTATGCATGAAAATGAAGCAGGATTCCAAGAGAGTCTATTAAAGACCAAGATCAGTGTTGCAGTTCACTTGATGAACGGTAATATCCTGTTACTTGTGTTTGTCTCTGCATGAAAATCAGCAGAATTTCAATTCAGAGATTGTATCCACAGACTAGTATATCTGTATACAGTATACTTCAGTCCGTACATGTAAACATGAAGATTTCACATTGCCACACAAATATGAATGATAACGAAGCAGGGTTTCAACAAAAGAGTTTGTATTTGTAGACTAGGATCTTTGCACAGGTCAACTGCTGATATATCAAGTTCAATGCCTTGCTATCAACACAGTTCTGTTAAATCAACTCACGCTGCCTTACACTACTTCAAGTACGCTAAGCACGAAAGCCTGCCTGCTTTGAGGGTTTGTAATGCATCACCAATAAGTATGATAACTATAAAAATCTAGATAGAAAAGTCATTGGACACAGAATATTTGCTTGATTTATTCAAATAAGCCTTCATCTCTGATTTTTCTTGGATCAATAACATTTTAAAAACTGGATTGATAGTTAGCATAACTGTAATGTCCCCAGGGCATAGTTACACATTAATCTGCTAAAAACTCATCAAGGAAAAAATGTAATGAGTAATGTGGAATACCAGAGATTTCCACTTTCGACCACATTTTGTTTCATTTTATGAATTCAATATATTTTGCTATGTACTTAATCTATAAAAGATTAACAAGATCTATTTAAAATGAAACGGGTCAAATACTAGCATATGGTGGTATAACAAACATACATTGGCTGTGTGAATGTAAACAAGGCATTCTCTATGAACCCTGAGCCAAATTCCGGTTTCTACCCTCAACCGGCCAAAAGGTCCTTGACTCCTGCACGGTATTGATAAACAGATCCTCCTGTAGGCTTTCTCCCTGAACCCTCTCTTTCTCTCTCTCTCTCTCTCTCTCTCACCCTCTCGGTATCGTTCTCCCTATCCTCCTCACTCTCTCCGTCTGTCTCACTCTTCCCTTCTCCCTCTGTCTCTCTCTTCTATCTCTCTCTCCTCCATTTCTCTTTCCTTCCCTTTTACTATATTCTCTCCCTCTTGTTTTCTCTCCCTCCTTACTCTATATCCTTCTCTTTCTCCTTCTCTTGATCGATCACTATCATGCTCTCCCTCCCTCCCTCCATCCATCCATCCACCCCCTCTATCTGTCTGTCTCTGTCTTTCTTCCTCCCTCTCCCTCTCATCCTCCCCCTCTCTCTCTTTCTTCCTCCCTCTCCCTCTCCCTCTCATCCTCCCTCTCTCTCTCTCTCATCCTCCCTCCCTCTCTCTCTCTCCCTCTCTCTCTCTAGCACATGAACCAGCCAGCCAGCCAGCCGAGGAGTTCAACGCCAATTCATGCTCCATGGAATACCTTATTGGTAAGATGACACCGCTCACTGAAGATCCCAGTGGAGTTCCTAGAGCAATCGCCCTTCAGCTCAGTGAGCCACTGCAAAGATGATTCGTGCAGTCCTGGTGCACTGTCAACTAGAACTTTTGCAAACAGTACGCATTGCTATCCTTCTCTTGAACAAGAACACCCTTGACGTTTTGGGGATTTGGGCCAGGTTTTCCTGCTTCATTTTTTGCATTTCCTTTTTTGATAAAACTATATCTAGCAACTTCTTGTCAATGACGATGCAGTTTTTACTCTTTTCCTGAATTTCGCTGCTTTGAAAGATAAGTTTTCACAGAGCCAATTTTCAATTAAAAATCTACCTACAGTACATGTAACTGTGCGTTGCCTGATTTATCACATGGCCATGCACATGGTCATGGACTCCAGATGTTTAAAGATGGGTTGGCTTTTGTTTGGAATAGTCTTACAATTAACTTTTAAAATGCACTTAACCGACCATTGTCTGCCCTTATCTTTGATAAAAACAGATGGTGATAGGTCAGTCATGCCTTATGCAAGTCCCTAAAATAAAGAACTACCATTGTAAAAATGAGCATGAATGTATATCTATCTTCTTTATCTAGCAATGTAACATCCTGTACATTTACACGGAAGTGAATACGACAGATCAGCATTCAAATGGGTCAGGTTCAAGTACTTGGCATTGCCACTTGATATACACTCTAGCAATTCTTTATAATTAATTTGATGGTTCAAATCGTTTTCATATCAGCTTATGGTTAAGTAGATTGCCCTTTCGGAACAACAGATAAAAAAAAACCATACTGTTTGATAGCAGTCTGGCTCTCTCTAGAAACAACCGCAGAGCTGCCAACCTTGTGCGACCAAAAAAAAGAAATTTCAAGCAAAAAAAAGGAATTCATAAAAACGAAACTTACAACCACGCGCGACACACTTCCAATGCAGAAATGTTCGTTCATCATGCTTTTTTTTTCCATACAAGCAGGAATTTTTCGGTATTTCATTCCTTTTGAAAATATTTTTCTTTTCAAGTATGTTTTATATCTAGTTTTCTGTTGAATTTGTGATCAAATCACCATTTTAGGGCAGTTGTTTGACGTGTGGTATGTAAAAAAAAAAAAAATTTAAACTAAAAAAAAACTGTATTTTACGAAGAAAAAAACGTAATACCGTAAATTGGAGGGAAAAAGGGAGTAATTCCGGCAAAAACAGAATGGTTGGCAGCTCTGCACCGCCCCCCTGAAGTTTGTATTACTATCCAAAGAAAATAACAGCCCCCCCCCCCCCTTTGCTCTCCGACTCGTTTGACTGATACCACTTTATACTTTTGTCAACATTGGTCAAATTTATATGCATTACTATTTTGAACAACAGGCAGGCTAAAATCTTTGGCATACAAGCAACTAGTGGTGTGGAGCAGGAGTCCACTGAGGAGGCAATGACATCATGGGAAAAGAGGAGGAGGGGGGTGGTCTTATTCTGTGCCCCAGCCCCTCAGGGAAGGATGTGGGAAGGGATCTTATCTTTTTTCTCATCCTTAACCCCTTTCTCCCTTTCTGTCATTTTCTTCTTCTTCAAGGAAACACATGTTTGCAGGAATAAGCCATCGTAAGGAGAATCTGTAAATTTACTGCGTAACCAAGAACCTACTTTTGTGTGCAAATAGAGCACCTAAATAAACGTACACTTATTCAAAAGAGCATCAAATTTTAAACAATTTACAAGGTTCTCAAACAGAGGATATCCTCGTTTTGCGAGTGGACGTCACAGTGAAGGTACAGTACATAGAAGTGTCCTCGGTTTGTTACGGTAGACAGAAGTACACAATGATACAAATGTACACATACCTGAATGCACACCAACACATACCGGTACACATAACTACACAAACTTTTTTTGTATTTCATATAAGTCACACACACCCACATACATGTACACACCCACACACACACACACCCACACATATCCCTACAGATAGGGGGTTTACCTGATGCTCTGTCTCCGCACACTGCACAGATGCTCTTGTTGATGGATGTGCCGGGCATGGAGCCAGGGCTTATTGACGACTGCGCTGGCTGTGAGAAGGGGTTGTGTAAGTGGCCCTGCACGTTGAGATGTAAAATGTCCCGGGGAAACTACGGATTAATAACAAGACGTGGCTATGAAATCAATTTTTACCATTTCACTACAGAAGAAATGTTCTGTGGTCTCTTGCATGAAATTAAGAAATACACTGGTAGGAATACTCATAAAAGGAGTGTAGATGGTGCACACTTGTGTGCGGACTTAAAATCCAGTAACCAGGGGTGGTGATGAAATTGTAGAGCGCTTTGAGATATTCACATAATGCCCTATATGAATAAAATTCATTATTATCATTACTATATTTTACTGATCAGTATTGTGTATGAAACATGACCCTGTTCTGTGCCATTATATGCCTGAAATTCCCCTCAATGTCCTTGCATTGCACAGTTAAAATAATGCCTCATGTGCACTAGGCCCAACTTTCCAGGTGATGATCGTACTACAGGGGATATTACTCCTTGAGGTTGTTTCACAAAGATGCTAAGTCGAACTTAACTCTAAATTGGACTTAAAAATTATGGAGAGCCATTTGTAGCCTTAAAATAAAATATATTCAAAAGACTTTTTATAAATTCCACATCAAAAACATGAAATTTCTTTGATAATAGAAAATATGAATGATTTGAATCGACTGTTCATGCCTTTAAAAATAATTTTTATAAAATATTTTCATAGATGCTAATGGCTTTCCATCATTTTTAATTCCAACTTAGATAAGTTAAACTTAGATTCTTTGTGAAACACCTCCCTGGGACAGCAGTTTAGAGGGAAATGATTGTCCTGGCCTGGAGTCTAACTTACCTGGACGTTGATGTTGAGGGGGAGTGCATGCCCGTCATACTGGACACCTGTGATTGTGAGAGGGGTAAGGATCCTGGTTGAGAGGTGATGATTGGTTTGATATCTTCCATTGAGCCCTGGCTGCTCAGGGTTGGTGACTGCATGGGCGGAGAGTGTAGACCTGAAATCAAATCAAATCAAGATGAGATTGCATCACACTCTTCAATCCCATTTGATTCATTTACAATTTTTTTTACAATAGACCAGTTCACGGTTAGCACATCTCTGCAATGACCCCTAATATCCACAGATCTTCAAAACATGAAGAGGTCCCACTTTGTACATTTTGAAATAATCACTCCTACAGTGATGGAGGTGCTACATGTACATAAATAGCCTTTGTTTCCCCTTTTCAAAGAATACTTCCACCTGTGTATCATGGAGTGTACTGCTTGTGCTCGAATAAATAATGATTACATAACTTTCATGAGCACGTGTATTCAGTATTTGGTCTCCAGGTATTTCACAATTTGTTCTGCAATTACCTGTATCTGCTCATGCTCAGACTGCAACCGTGAACTGGCTTATTACATTTGTTCATGTAAGTGACGCAAGTCCAAACAATTTAGTCCCATACATTGCCAACCATATCCAATATTATAGGTTATTTGGTTACTGCTTTATTTGCAAGCCCTAATAGACTTGGATCCAGTGAAATTATACTTTAGATGTGGATTCATGTTTATAATACCATAATACTCTTATTATTATTATCATTATTATTATTATTTATTCAGCAATTCAGAAGAAAAAAGTATATACAGTACCTACATGTACAACAGATGAAATAAATAACAAAACAATAGATTGATCATGATACAAAAAAGGTTAAGAGATTTTGATTATAAAGTAGACAGAGCTGCCTGGGACAAGAAAAGGTGAACTAATTACCATGACCCTCAGGTCTTCTGTCCCACACCCTGTCAACTCTATCCAAATCTGTACATTAAATCAGAAGGAATAGACAGCAAAACATTAGTTTATAAAAAAAAATGATCAGATCACATATATATATATAAAAGAAACAGATGGGCACAAAAATGGTGTGCTTTTAAATGCATCAGAAGCAAAGACTTTACAGCGACATATAATAATAATAATAATATTGGATTCTTATATAGCGGACCACGTATCGACCTTGCAAGGTCCTCAAGGCGCTCCAACATTACCCGGCTATGCTAGGCTGCAGATTTCGACGCCCACAGCATTTTAGGAATTCCTTCACTTCCTACTCATTTAACACCTGAGTGGAGAGTGGCAAGTGTAGATTAATGTCTTGCCAAAGGACATTAGAGCCGCGGCGGGACTCGAACTGCGGACCCTGTGATTTACAGTCCGGTGACTTATCCACTACGCCACAACATCTCTACCTCTATGTATAACAATATCCAAAGGATTAAATAACTTGAGGATTCTGCTACCAGTCAAATCTATGGACCGCTAGTCACCTTCAATGACAAATTTATCACAGAAAGCTTAAGTTGACCGTTTTCGATACAGGAATTTCTAATCATCTTCTTCACTATAAATCCTGTTAGAGAATATTTATGCCATTGTGAGCTAGGAATACCAAAAGTCGGTTAGGTAAATACAATTATTATTATTAATACAATTATTATCCATTATTATTATGGTTATTCTTTCCTTCAACTAATTGTTGATTCTTTTCCATATTCATGTTTTTGTAATTTTTCTTTATATCTTTGAACTTTGTAATCTTTGTTTGTATCAGTCTCCTGACTGTTTTAACATGGAATTTTAATTCAATAAACCGAAATGAATGAATGAAAAAAAAAAAAAATAGTTTTACTGAATAACAATGAATAAAAGTGGGAACATCAGACTCTTGAGACAGACAGCTGCTCATGTTTGACAATGGGTTGCCAATTTAGTAGCATGGCAGAGGTTCAATACGAGATAGTGATTGTGACTTACGGTAATCTGTGATTCCTGAGTGTAGACCAGGTGAGGAGAGTGTGGGTGAGCCGAGACCCTGATTCACCATGGAAGGGGAACCCATGGTGCTGGTTGGTAACTGCATACCGAGGGACTTCATAGCGTCTAAAAGGAAGAGAAGAGTGGCAAATTTTAAAAATGAATATTGTTTCATTAATACTGGTAATAATAATAATAGGCATTTCTATAGCGCCGTCCATCTAGAATTCTATTCCGATGCGCATGTATTATTACCCCGGCTTTAGCCTAGCTCAGCCCATTACAGCGCTCCAGCATTTCATTAATTTTTGCCAGGTACCCATTTACCTCACCTGGGTCGAGTGTGGCAAATAAAGATTAATGCCTTACCAAAGGACATTGGTGCTGTGTCGGAGATCAAACCACGACCTTTGAATTTAAAGTCAAGTGCTTAAACCACTGGACTATTAGACACTTCTATTGACTCAAACAATGACTTGACATTCGCTCCAGAAAAAGTGCTTCTGCCTTTCCTTGTTCCAAACTCGACAACAACAAGATATGGGGGGTGTTTCACAAAGATCCTAAGTCGAACTTATCTCTAAGTTGGACTTAAAAATTATGGAAAGCCATTAGCATCTTTGAAAATATTTTGTAAAAGTTATTTTGAAAGGCATAAAATGTTGATTCAAATCATTCATATTTTTTTATCATCAAGGAGATTTCATTTTCTTGATGTAGAATTTATAAAAAAAAGTCTAAAATACTTGAATTTCTGCTTTTGAATATATTTCATTTTAAGGCTCCAATGGCTGTCCATAATTTTTAAGTCCAACTTAGTGTTAAGTTCTACTTAGGATCTTTGTGAAACACCCCCATGGTTAGGGTTAGGGTAAGGTACATGTATATTGTTGGGTCCAGGGTTGATTATACAATATTGAATAGACCAGAGATTTGCATACAAGGAACTTGCAAATTCACATGTGATACAGATTCTTAACACTTTCACAATATAAAATAATTGTACACCACCTGCATCACAAAATGATTTATTATTCTTTTTTATCAAATTTGCTACGACATGTACCGGTACATGTCACATAGCTCTTTGAATAATTTAAAATACCAGCAAATCTCCATGAATAAATAATTATCATCAAATCTTCAGGGAAGCCATAAAAAACCAAATGGTGCTCCGACCCTGATATAGCACACAGCTAGTACAGCAGCAAGTATGCCAAGTATTACGACATCATAAAATAATAATAATAGTGAACATATATATTGGATATATAGAGTACCGAAGCTGTGACGTCATAAACCATTAGGAGCCAGAGCATATAACACTGAGTTCCCATAGGACATATATTTATTCAGATGGTTATATCTCAGCCAATACTTAACATATTAAATTGGTTTTCAACATTTGGACATTATTTTTTATGCTCTTTCGGAAATGAAGAAAAAATTGAGAAATTCTAAAAATAGATTTTTGATGATGTCACACTTCACCACTCTATACTGTAGATGAGGGTGATTGAGGAAAAAAAGAAGTGGAGGGAGGGAGGGAGTGTCATTTAAGTCTGCAACCTCTTGTAAGATGGAAAATGACGATTTAACTAAATGATGATGATGAAATAAAACTTATCCCCTGCAAACCAGACTAGATATTGGCGAACTGCTGCACAAAGAGCCAGGCTTCATGCAATGATTCATTCGTTTATTCACGAGACAAATAGAAACCGAAGCTGAATGTACATTCTACCATTTTCTAGTGCTCTGAAAATGAATCTGGTTACCTAGCAACAGAGACAAGTTCAAGCAAGTGTATAAAAGCCATGTTACGTGTTACTTGCTTCAGGAAAGATCAGCTGCTGATGAAGCAATTTCAATGTTACATGTATATGGATAATGCAGTAAACAAACCTCATTCAAATCATTGTCAGCCTTATTTCTCAGTAATCAGCAATTCAGCATGACAGACTTGTTCTCTACTACATGTAGGAATCTTGTCCATAACTAAATGTAGAGAGGCTGCAACGTGTGCAAGGATGTTCCATGTACTACTAGGCTTGCGGGTGCACCATGTAGGAGAGAGGGAGGATTGAGAAGTCCTGAAAAAGAACTCTCTGTAATCTTTTTGTACATGTACTGTTTCTCATACACGTGTACACGCATTGACTTGTGTATGAGTGAACGGCATATGAATCTTAGCCTTTACCTATAAAGTTTACAAACATACTTGAAGTAAGACACACCACGCTTTCTTAAAATCATTTCAACAACCTTTAAACCTTGTTAGTGATATTTTTCTTCCCCTACTTCGGCCCATGGTCAACACTAGACATACTGGATACGTAAAAGTCCAATCAAATATTTTTTTTCCCCTGCTCTTGCTGAATCAAGGAAAAAAATTCTTTAAGTAAATCAGCATGAATTTATCCGGTTCAACATGCAACATTTCGATCAATTGTCAAAGAATGTACCTATAGGAGACCATGTTTGGTGCGAGTGAGCGTAAACCATTGGAGACTAGACGACGGCTTAACCTTTAACCTCGACATGAACATATCTAGGAAAATATATTAAACAACACCATCGTAGTCTGTCTAAGGCTGCGAATATTCAGTAAAATTTGAATATATTATTTCAAACTGAGTCACCTTTTAAAAACTTGAGCATTTAGACTTTGTTAGCTGGCCTTCTGTGTTTTGGAGCTGAATTCAGCTGTGTCGTCTTACGGCTAAAGCAGATTTTAAAGTAACTAAAAGGCAGCAGGACAATTCATTTCATAATGTTTGTTTCAATGATTTCATTTATATTACTGATGACACAAATAATTAAAAACAACTGTGTTTTTTTTTTTAATTGGCACCTGATTCCTACTTACGAGTTTTAAAAAAGACAACATGGGGTTATTCTGATATGATTTTATAAAATCTGCATACTGTAAATCAAAGATATGGAGAATTACTGAGGATATCCTTGCACTGCCTCCTGGATGCCTCATTGTTCATTTACATGGATCTACTTTAATACATGTATACATGTAGATTACTGTTAATTATGAACATACATAGAATGTATGAGGACATGTCATGTACATTGCAGCGAGGCATACAGTAGATGCCTATGCATACATTTGCATATATGAGGGATGTACCTTATGTATGTACACTGCAAGGGTAAGCCTATAACTGCTCTAATGTGAAATTGCTATTGATGCTCATTCTGTATGCTAACCGCGCTCATGTTATGCCTGTATCGCCATCAAAGTACATCCATGCATGATATGCCTGCATACATGAGCAAGTCCAACGCAAACGAGTGATGAGTGTGCATATGGTTGAATAATAATGTACTGTCCTGCAAATAGGGAAAATGTATGCAGAGATAATTCATAGCTGATTTATCTGTATTGACACCTGTACAAATGGTCTTATTGATTTCTCTCCAACTCGCGCAGTGTCCAAACTGTCTGTTTGCTGCCAAAACTGAATGAACTGTAGTAAGATTTAGGTTCAACTGTTGGGTGTTATTTTCCTGGATTGTAAAATGATACATGTATTTTCTCAAAAACTGAGATCAAAATGTAATCATCTACCACTATGGTTCCACTGTTTTTCTTCTTGGGATTATGAGACGATAAAGTTCAATGTATTTTCTCTAGAAACTGGGATAAAAATGAATAGTACTTAACTTTTACTAATTAATATATGCATTTTTATTTCCTCAAGTACTAGGTGATATGTTAGAAATTGAGAAGTTTAGATGATTTGTGTTTCATTATCAAGATATTAGACAAGTGTTATGAATAAAAGTGAATGAACCTGTAATGTAGTCTTAAAAATGTCAGATTTTAGATCTTGTTTCCTCTAATGCTTGCTGAAGTAGAAAATGGATAGGTCAAAGTGATCATGTTCTATTACTAAGCAGCAAAGATTTTTTTTGTTTTAATTTTTTATTACTTTGGATAAAGTGTGTTCCATTTCAGTTTTAAAGCATTAAAGTTCCATTACCAAGAAGGCACATGATGTACTAAAATATTGTTTTACTTTCAATAAAAATACAATTAATCATAAATTTATTTGATTTCATATTTTAACAAACTAAATAACTTCTAAAAGATTACATGTTGAAATTGAGAAGTTTAAAGTGTTAAAATTCCATCATGCAGAAAGTACATACATGTAATTCAGATATAAAGTATAAAGCTGATATATCAAGCTGCATGTGTACATGTAAGCCCCCTTTACAATCAAATTTAATGTCATACAATTGCAATTTGTTGACCCTTATTTATTATTTCAGATTCACGAGTTTCCCTCAATTGCACAACTGACTAATCTACTGAAGCAAATCATAGATTTAAAATCATCATTTACCAAAATCTAAAATATGCATATTATTTTTGGGGATGATTAAAGGCGAGTCTTCCAGTGTTTGCATGCCAACTTCATGCAGGAGAAATGTCATAACACTTTGTAAACATACAATGTACTAACTTCACATATAATTGTAATGTACATGTACAAACAGGTGTATCTAGGCCCTGTATGGACAGGGAACATGTACTTACATGTATGTAAATGTCAAATACATACAAATAACATGTACATTGTATGTGTGGAGCTTTAAACTGATTGACATTTCATTAGACCATCAGCCGCTTTACAGGGTTCAAGAAACTATGAGCCACAGCTGGACTAAAAATAGCAGGAAAGGAAAGGTCATACTGAGAGTAGCAAAGTATGCCAAGCCAAGTTCTCTATAATACTAGTAGGCCTATACATGTATGTATATTGTATGTGCCTAACATTTGTGTAGTAGACTAGGAGTGCGTTTATCAACTATTTTCTAGCCTATAATCAGTGTTTTCAAACATGATTCGGGCAAATTTGCATGTTGATAAACGCAAGCACGTTTTCATACGACTTTATATACATTGTATGTGTGTATATTGAAATGTAGAAAAAAAGTGTGTTTTGATACCCTTTTTGAGCCCTACATTTCATACTTGCATGAATTCAAATATCAAATTTGCATTCATCTTATTTATTTTAAATCTTTACAGATGAAGAGAAAGATCTAGTCAAAAGGAAAGAGAGAGAGAGAGAAAGAGATAAAGAGAGAACTGGAGAAGCAGAAAGGT